TAGAGACATTGCAATGTGAACAAACTTCCAGTTAACCTAACAAAAGTAGGGTAGTAAAATATATAGATATTTTACTACCCATATGCCCCTGTGTTGGCAAATCAATGTAGGATTTTCTCTATTGGTGGCAAAGTTTCCTGTTGTTCTTAACAAGTCCTGGAGTCATAAACTTTTACTATATATTGAAATATAAGAGAATTGTAGCTACCCTATTGTGTTTGAATATCTATCACTAGCTTAGATATAACTAGAAAGCTTAAAATATTAGATTGTGTCGTCTATTAATAAAAATAAATGATTCATAAATTATATCGGATATTGAAACAAAAATTCAATTTCAAAAGGGGTAGCGTCTTAATTTTATGTAAATTTAGAACGGAATGTCTTCACGAAATCTCTTCAGATTTTATGAAAAAAATACGCCTTTTAATTGATTTCTAAATAATTTACGAATTTAATCATTCTTATTGAATAATATCTAAGATGATGTTTAATTGACGGAATATATAATAACTGATAACTGTCTCTAGATAGCGACACATACAAAAATGGTTAAATATAATACGAATATATAAATTACTGTTTAGGAAGATAATACTAATAAATAAAATATGATTCATACCTATTGCATATACAAACAATAAAATTTGTATTAGGAGATAAAATATTCTACAGAATCAAAAGCTTTGATACTCGCAATATCAGAGCATGTGTCAGTCGTAGACATTAGCACCACAGCGGATACTTTACATGTTACGGTCTAATAACCTCGCCCTACTCCATTTATCATCCCAACAATATTTCACGAGTTTCCGCGTGTTTGTCTCTCAATAGACTAAAACATACGGTAAGAGTATTTACCCAGCATTACAAGTCGCACGACGGTGACGTTCTGCATAACAAATAGATTGTCTGATAGCATAGTAATTGATCGGATAAATTCGTTTGTAAATTAAATAATAATGTTTTTTTTTTATAGAAACTATTATTTTCCCACAACGCAAATTTTTGAATTCATTGGCTAAAAAAAGAACACCCTCGTGGGGTGTTATTTTTTTAGCTAATCACATGAAACTTAATTTTAGGCCACTTAATACATTATTCATACATATATCCCTTGTTCCTTTTAAAAGTTTAATTCTAGTTGTGTTGTAGTACAAAAAGAGATCACGGTACTGAAGTATGCTATCGATTTCGTCATATTAATTACACAGTTTTAGATAAAATTTCAGTGTCACCGAGATTTTTCTTGCTTCTTAATATTATAGCCGAACAAATCGTGCAAGTGTTTGTTTTGTAAAGTAGGCGTCAATGTAACAATATGTATACAGAAACTTTGTTATCTAAATTGAGAACATATTTAGATCTACCTAAAAACCTAACGTTATATAACGGATAGTAAAACAAGAATTCAATTTGAAAAAGATGACTTCAATAGTATCCCCAAGTAACTTATTTTATTTAACATTTTTATCTATGTAAGTTAATTACATTTTATGACATGACAATATTAATATGGACAAAGATATAATTTTGGTGATCATATAACGTAACATGTATAAATAATTTCATAAGAATCGAGAATCAATTCAAAAAAGAAAAAAATTTTCAATTTATAAACTACTTCCTTCTACTAATGTTTTCTAGTCTTCCTACTACTACTACGGTCTTCTATCAAAATCTTAGTGAAATCAATAATCCGCATAATACATTTAATATAGCGAGGTATCACTTTTGTCTTGTTTCCAGGACCAGGAGGTTACTGACAAAATTTATACGTGAAATGTTACATTTCTTTACATTTATTTGACAAAAGTGTGCTTTCGAAATATAGGGTATCACTACCTAACAAACCAGTTATAATCAATAGAATGAACAGATTGTGTACAGGCTTGGATTAACCATGGCGGGACTAAGGTATCAACTCCTAGGTAAAATCACAGATAACATAATATTACATAGTAAAACTATTCACCTGTTTCATCTCTTCCTTGTTGAAAAAAAAGTTTAGAGTCGTTTGGAGGTCATCAGATCTTTTTAAGTTGATGAAGTAATGGGTTAAAAGTTAAAGTTTTGATTATTTTTAAAAGTACTATGTAACCTATTTATATTATTAGTTCTATTACTCTATTGTCTGATTATTATTTATGCTCTAATTTTGTAATATCAATATTTAGCTTTGTTTTGTAAAATACAAATCCGTATATCCATAGTCTCTCGTAAGTAGATACATTGTAATTATTCATTTACGGAACACTGGAAATTATATTCGCTTCGGAACAAATGACTACCTAATCACTTTTGTTACACAAGGACCAACCTAATACAAGGGTAGATACAAATTAATTTGATCCCTCAAAGGGATGCATGCTTCAGTAACTGATAAATTACCTATTATTTACTTTTGAACTAATCGTTTTAAAACGGGAAAACTAGATTTAATTTTATTGGTTGAATATTAGTTCATTAAATAATATATATAATAGGAGAACCTTAGAGCTTATCAGAGCTTAGTTGAAAACTATAAAACAGATATAGACAATATGTACAGCATTTTTTACGTTCAAGTTCATTTATTGGTGGACTTAAAGCCAACGATAAAAATCTAAATAATAGTTCATTCTGTCTTGTTATTTTACTAAAACTAACTCGTTACTTAAAAAAACTATATTGCTTCAATTAAGAAATATATTATTTTATTACTAGTATTTGCTTAGTCTAAATTATTTGTTATTTAAATCACAAAGATACAGGTACCAGTATGAGGTCATTAGAAAAATTTGAAATCAGCATTTAACTTAATTTATTTTATTAAAAGTTACGTTTGAATATCAACATTTGTTACATACATAAACGACACCAATATACATCATAAACAACAAAATCCCATAATTTCATTAAAAAATAAGTTTCATATTTAGGATTACGGTAGTTTATTCCCATGTCTAAAGTGTTCTTATTAAATTATTCATATTGCGAACATCGAGTGTTGTTGATAATGGTCGCGTAGTGGATGCAAAACCATGTAATAATACTCTTAGGTAGCTATTGCCCTGAATTTAAGGGGAACAAGTGCGCGATATTGTTAATAATGAATGAATTTATGAGCGAATAGCAAGCATAACCTTTATACTGTAGCCGACGAGGATAATAGCGGATACATTATCCATAATTTATAAAGGTTTATTGTTAACAATTTAACAGCAATTCATTTACTAAGTTGCTCATAACGGGGTACTGTCTTATACTGGTCAATTAATATACTTTTACAGAATAGACTTTAGTTATGTCGTTATCAAATCGATGAGATTACTATTTTGTGTTATGTTTTAATATTATATTTCGTTTAAAATATTTTTAATTTCATTTATTAAGATTTCATGTAGGTATTTCTTTGTCTTAAGATGACTTTAGATATTTGACAACCACATCTTGTCGATACAAATAAATCCTTTATTTATGTGTTCAAGAACAAGTAACAATAAATGTTTATAATTAACAGGTTTTCTCCTACAGAGCTTATCAAGTATTTACTAAAATATGGCGGCTTGCAGAAAAAAAGTTTCTTTTGATATGTATGATCGAATACTGCACACTCCATCAAATACAAAACATATGCATTTCTGTACTGATTTTGAAATATCTATAGTTATTAATACTTTTAAAGACAGAGGGTGGAAGCAAGTCAATCCCGAGGAAGATTGGAACATTTACTGGTCTAATTCGTTAAATTGTCGTAATTTATTTAGTATTGATAGTGGTTGCAGACTCAACGATAATCAGTTGATCAATCATTTTCCAAATCATTACAAACTAGTAAAGATTTACTCGTAAATTTTTTTAAAAGGTATTGTAAAGAACTAGAAAAGGACTCCAAGACTCTTTCGGATAAAAATAAAATCAAATTTTCAAATGGTCAGATTGTTACTCGCTACTTATATCTTGATATAATACCTTTAACATTCGTCCTACCTACAGAGTATAGCATGTTTGTCGAAGAATATCGTAAATCTCCACAAACTACATGGATATTAAAACCTTGTGGAAAATCCCAGAGTTCAGGTATTTTTCTAGTTAATAAATTGTCAAAACTGAAAAAATGGTCCCGCGAATCAAAGAATTTTTAAAGCATCGTTTAACTAGCAAAGATATATACGTAATATACATAGAAAACCCGCTTCTGATCGGCGGAAAAAAATTCGATTTGAGGATTCACGTCCTTGTTACATCTTTTCGACCTTTAAAGGCTTATATGTTGCGCAAAGGATTTTGTCGATTTTGCGCAATGAAATATGGTGCTACTGGATCTGAGCTCCACAATATGAACGTTCACCTAACAAATGTTAGTGTGCAAAAACATGGAGTGGATTATAACTGTAAACATGGAGAAAAGTTGAGTATACATAACTTAATACTATATTTAGAAGGTACCAGAGGTCGAGAAGTTACTAAAGGCCTATTTGAAGAAATACAGTGTCAGCCACTGTATTTCTTCAAATAGTACATTCATTAAAAGCAGTAGCACGTGTAATGTCAAATGACCGTCATTGCTTTGAATGTTATGGCTATGATATAATTATAGATGATAAATTAAAACCTTGGCTAATCGAGGTTAATGCGTCCCCTTCGATGACTGCTAGTACAATTAAAGACCGGATATTAAAGTACAAACTAGTCGAAAATATTTTATCTATCGTACTCCTTACCGAAGGCATTCGGGACGCTTGTTGGAATAAAACGCCCACAACCAAAGCTTTAGGAGATTTTGAGGTACTTATTGACGAAGATTTTACATATTACTTAACTTTCTCTGTGAAAAATCCCTAGATTGTCTTTAATCTAGGGATTTTTTACAGAGAAAGTTAAGTATTATAATAATCATTTCAAATAATAATACTGCAATATAAACAGTTTATATAATTTACTTATAGATAATAATAATTAAAAAAAAAGAATAAGCTTGTATAATTTATTTATTAAGTAATAAAAACAAGCCGTAAATAAAAATAATCGTTATTTGTAACGATGATATTTGTTGAAACGGGAATTTATATCCTCTTTCTCCATTAGTTCTTCGTCGATCAATAGCTCAAAGTCCCCTAGTGCATCAGCATCAGGAATCTTGTTCCACCTTGCATCAGGTATACCATCGGGAGGTACAACTACTGATACGATATTATCAATTAACTTATATTTTAATATCCTATCATTGTGAGTCGTTGACTGTAATGATGGTGAAGCATTTACTTCTACAAGCCACGGTTTTAATCCATTATCAATAATTATATCATACCCGTAGCATTCAAAACAATGACGATCGTTAGCCATTACTGGGGCGACAGCTTTCAAAGAATGAACAATTAACCATTGCATTTCTGCAAATAATTTTTCTGTTACATTACGCCCACGGGTCCCTTCCAAATATAACCGAAAATTTTGAATACTCATCTTTCCCCCATGTAAACTATTATAATCCCCGCCATGTTTCTGTACACTCACATTTGTCAAATGCACGTACATGTTATCCAATTCAGTCACGCTGGTATCATACTTCACCGTACAAAATCTACAAAACCCGTGTTGAAATAAATAGGCTTTCAAAGGTCGGAATGATGTTACTAAGACATATAGCCTCAGATCAAATTTCTTGCCGCCGATCAAGAGCGGGTTGTCAATGTAACGCGATATTACATAACTTTCTTTACTGCTGAATTGAGGGTGAAATGGGGTTTTCGCTTCCCTAGACCACTTCTTCAGTTTAGAAAGTTTATTTATTAAGAAAATTCCCGCTCCCTGAGATTTTCCACACGGCTTCATTATCCAAGTGCTCTGTGGAGATTTTCTATACTCTTCAACGAACATATTATAATCGGCAGGCAAAACGTAAGTAATTGGTATAAAATCTAGATGTAGATATCGAGGAGCTACCTGGCCATTAGGTAGTGATACTTCGGTTTTTTCAGCCAAAGGATTGCCTTCCCGTTCCAGTTCCTTTCTGTACCTTTTGATGTTTTTCACCAATAAATCTTTTCGGGACAACTCGTAATGGTTGGGAAAGTGATTTATCATTTGATTATCGTTCATTCTATATCCGCTTTCGATACTGAAAATAGATCGACAATTTTGCGTGAAGGACCAGTAGAAATTCCATTCATCATCTGGGCCTACTTGGATCCAACCTCTACGTTCAAAATTGCTCATAATTACTGATTTTTCTAAGTCAGTACAAAATGTTACTCTAATTTTTGCCATGTTTACCGACGACGATCGTCCGTGAATAACTGGAGATATTTTCCTATTTTCTTGTGACATATCTATATAAATAATTTTAAGACATGACAAATTATATATATATATATATATATATACTATTAATGAAATAAAAATAAAAGTGACAGTTTACACTGACATTTTGGTATTCTGAAATTGACACATTAATACTTTTATACAAAACATAGTTTACTGTTTAAGATTAAAATAGTTCCTACCTATGTATAATCTATAGATATAGAATAAGTGGTGCGGCGGTGGCTATGATCTAGCCTTCTTCGATGGACTATATTATTGTATAGGAAACTGGCTGGTCAAATATGAATGACTTACCCTTACTTCAATGTGCTTGTTCTTCAGTGGGCCCACACGGTTACGGGAATCTCAGGAATTCACTCAGATTGATTACAACTATTAAGACATGCGTGCGATATGAGTGCGACGTGCGCGCGCGGCGAAAGCTATGACATCACTAATTATTGAATTAGCCGGGAGGGGTGTCAATGCACATCAACAAACCAGGTACGCATCGCGTTTGGCGTAACCATGCCCCCCGCCTTGACATAATGTCAAAGTAAAATTAACAAAGAAAAAAAATAAAGGAACTACACAATTGAACCTTATTGCGAATGCGACAAATACAAAAAACAAGAAAGAAAAAATACAAAAAATATCAAATGCGGAATTTACTAAATAACTTATTAACCTATTATAAATGCGTACTACCTATCTTATAGAATACATATTATTGCAAAGGCAATGGACATAATTTTACCACTGGCCTTTGAAAAATACCAGCCTTTGTTTTGACTGAGGCAACGCGAATAATGCCATCCTTACCCTTATAAACTCGTGTTATAAGACCAAGAGGCCAATGCAATGGAGTTAAATTCTCCTGCATAACAACTACTATCGTGCCTTCCTGGATAGGAAAGGCCGGCGTGTTCCATTTGCGTCTCAATTGCAACGTATGCAAATATTCACGATGCCACCTCTTCCAAAACGATTGAACGAGTTGGTCTAAAAGCTCGTGTCGTTTCAAAAGATGAGGAATAGCGTCACTTACGTCATGTGCTGGGAAGTGTTTTAGCGGTATAGTGTTAAGAAAATGAGCAGGTGTCAATGCTTCCAGGTCCGACGGATCTGAACTTAAGACGGTCAATGGGCGAGAGTTTAATAGCGATTCTATTTGTGTAAGAACAGTCGTAAGTTCTTCAAAGGTTAAAATTTGTAGCCCAATGACTTTACTTAGATGGCTTTTGACACATTTTATATTACTTTCCCAGCACCCTCCAAAATGCGGTGCGTTAGGAGGGATAAGGATCCATTTAATTCCATTGTTAGCTAATTCCTTATCCCAAACAGATCTACATTCTTGCGATAAAAACAAATAAAGTTCACGTAGGTAGGATCGTGCCCCTATAAAATTAGTACCATGATCCGTATACATGCATTGAATAGGACCGCGGCGAGCGAGAAAACGTTTTAACGCGGCGAGAAAACAAACTGTACTCAATTCACTTGCGAGCTCAATATGAACAGCCCGAGTGGTTAAGCACGTGAATAAGCAAACGTATGCTTTGCGAGTGGTTATACCACGACCGCGATAAGGGGTTACAAAAAACGGACCTGCGAAATCACAGCCACAATGGACAAAGGCTTTAGGAACTTCCTTCACCCTTAGTGCAGGCAGATCACCCATCGGTGGGAATGTAGGACGCGGTTTATTGCGGAAACAAATATTACAATTAGCTACGATCGTGCGAATCATACGTCGAGCTGCGAGAATCCAATATTTAGTACGTAGTATTGACATTAACAATTCTGGGCCTGTATGCAGGTTTTTACGATGAAAGTGTGTTACAATTAATTGAACTATATGATCTCTGCCCGGAAGTAATATAGGGTGTTTATAATCGAAATCTTCATCAGAATGAGTCAGACGACCACCAACTCTTAAGAGATTGTCTGATAAAAATGGATTTAATTTAATTATTGATGCGGTACAAGGTTTTTTATTATTTAACTTGCTAATATCGTTTTTAAAATGAAACCCCTGCACAGCGCGAATAATTATACGTTCGGCGAAATCCAAATCGGAAATGGATATGACGCCGCGTGGAAGAATGTTAGCGAACTTATAAATATAACAAATTACACGAAGTAATTTCATCCATGACGAAAATTTGCGAGCGAGCGAATATAAATAAGGTTCCATAGAATCTTCAATGGTAACCAGTGCGATAGGTTTTAATTCTGGAATGTCCGATGAATCCGCAGCAAGAAATGGCTTAATTGGCCATTGTCCCTTTGGTTTACAAATCCATGGTGGACCATTTAACCAAAGGGGGTGCGTTGCGAGTTGAGCAGGACTCAGTCCCCGAGACAGGCAGTCACTGGGATTGTCCGTGCCCTTAATGTGATAAAAATGCGTTGGTTCCATGTTTTCATGAATTTGCGATACTCGATTCGCAACAAACGTATGCCATTTGTGTGGCGACGAGTGTATCCAATTTAATGCGACCGTAGAATCCGAAAATGCGAATACCGATTCTATGGGGTATCTTGGCGAATAAACTTGATAAATAATTTTGATTAATTTAGAAAGAATTACAGCGGCACACAATTCCAATCGTGCCAAAGCAATTACCTTTAATGGTGCTACCTTTGACTTGGCACATAAAAGTGTAATATTTGAAGTACCATCTGGCAGTTCAATATACGCGTATACACAAGCACCATATGCGCGTTCGGATGCATCAGCAAATCCGAGAATGTTTAATTTGCAATTATCAATAACACCTATATGACGAATAAATTTAATGTTAGAAATGAGTGGTAATTCAGATTGGAATTGATTCCACGTGCGAACAATTTTTTGCGGGGGCGTTTCGTCCCAATCGAGTTTTAAAATCCAAAGTTGTTTAATTAAAAGCTTTGCATATAATATTATAGGCGCGACTAAACCTAAAACATCGAAAAGTCGTGCGACTGATGATAAAATATTGCGTTTGGTGCATGGACGATTAATGGGAGTAACTTTAAATGCGAAAACATCATCTGATGGAAACCAACATAAACCTAAAATTTTAAGCGTTTCATCCTTATCGAATTCCAGATTTTGCGAAAAACGATTACTTTCTGGAATGTGCTCTAAGACCTTTTTACAATTGCTAGTCCATTTTGCCAGTTCAAATCCACCAGTCAAAAATAAAGCGGTGAGCTCTGATGCTGCCTGCGAGGCATCTTTACTATTCTTAACTGAACTAACAACATCATCAACATATATGTCTCTCTTTACAATTTCATGCGCGATTGGAAATTTATTTCCTTCATCGGAAGCTAACTGAGCTACAGTACGTAACGCTAAGTACGGGCTGCAACGTAAGCCAAATGCAACTTTATTAAATTCAAAGACTTGGAGCGGTTTATTAGGACTAAATCTATATACAATACGTTGAAAACAACGATCTTGCGGGCGAACTTTTATTCGTAAATACATTTGTCGCACATCAGCTGAGATGGCGACTGCGAACAATCTCATATTCAAGAGAATAATAAATAAATCCTGTTGTAAGGAAGGACCTGTATGTAGAATATCATTAAGCGAAAATCCAGTACTAGACTTCGCTCTTGCGTCTAGTACCGGCCTTATTTTCGTGGACACTTTGTCCTCACGTAAGACTGCGTGATGCGGTATAAAATAACTAGGGCTGTTATTTTCAATTACGTCTACGGGAGAAATATATTGTTTTTCTATATATTCGTGAATTACCTCATCATAAAGGTATTTCAGTTGCGGTTGCGATGCGAATTTACGTTCCAAATGATAAAATCTGCGTTTAGCGATATCGAAAGAGTTCCCTAAAGACTTAGAACTATACTTAAATGGTAAAGCGACTTCGTAGTGACCTGATTCGTTACGAGTGGTCGTTGTGGTATAAAAATCTTCACAGTATTTATCGTCTATACTTGTTATTGGTTTGCGATCTACTTCTTCAATCTCCCAAAATTTGCGAATTAATACTGAAACCTCGCACGAAGTGGTGGAACAGAACGAGAATGAAGAAGACGTAGAAGTTAAGGTGGGAGCTTCACCTAAAATAAGATAACCGAGAACAGTCTCCAACGCGTTTGGAGTACCAGGTGAATTTATAATTTTACCTCCAGACAAAAGGGTCGCGAATAGATTGACACCAATCAAAAGGTCAATTTCTGATGGTGTTCCCCACGTATCATCTGCGAGCGGAATATTAGTTAAGTAACTGAGCGCGCCAACATCAATTTGACATGTTGGTAAGTTACCTGTTATTTTATTCAAAACTAAAGCGCGAATATTATAATATTGCTCATGATTAAATCTCGATCGGAAAGAGAGATCAACTGCACCCTTAACTGGTTCAGTGGCGCCACCTATACCCTTAACGGTGGTATGTGCGTCCGGCTGCATGGTTAAACCCAATTTTAAACAACACTTAGAAGTAATATAATGCTTTTGTGACCCGGGGTCCAATAAGCAGCGAATGACAACATCACTCCCATTACGAGCAGTAGCAAATACCTTGGCAGTAGCAAGTACTTCAGTCACATACGGCTGCTCATGAATGGACGATGAAAGCGTGCATAACGACTCCTTGTCTCCACCAGTGGTGGTTCCAATAGGAACGGGAGTTGGTTCTAATCGTGTCTGTTGTGTGGGTTGTGTGTGCGCAAGCGGAGGCAATTGCGACGAAGAAGATGGTGGTAATTGGCGACCGTGCGTAGAAGATGTCTGTGCGTTTTTCGTACCCTGAGATACTTGCGTAGGTGCGGAATTATTAATTTTAAAACAAAGCAACGTATGATGTCTCGGATTGTTACAATTTCGACAGGCGGAAGTTGATTGACAACTGAAAGAGTTATGTTGACTACTTAGACATCTAGTACACATACGGTTAGTTTTAATATAATTAAATCGATCATTAATTGTGAAAGTTGAAAATTGTTTACATTTATATAATTGAGAATGTGAATCACCTTTACATAAGGAACAATAAATGCGT